AAAAAGGTTGGAGACCGCTGGTTTAAAGGACGTCACTGATCCTGTGAGCCTGCACAGGAACAGAGTCTGAGTCGTCCAACATTAAAGTGCACTGAGACAGGCAGACATACTGGGTCCACAGGCCTCACTGGACCCAGTATGTCTGTGGCTGATTAAATCTTTTACTAAATACATAATACAACATTCTATATATGAAGGCTTCTGCTCAGTGTCTTCGAATGGTTGATTCTGTGTGTCGTGTTTCTCTGAGGTTCATCACTAACCGTAACTCTCATCTATACAGTTTTATATATAAGGCCATACTTGGGTTGCTACTTCTTATCTATGCTCCCTGCTCGTAATGAAACATGCTGGTCGGTTTTCTCTTCGTCCGCATGGTTACTTGTTGCTTTCTGCTCCATTTGCCCGAACTGAACTTGGTAAAAGAGCTTTTGTCCATTTAGCACCGTCGGCTTGGAACAAACTGCAGAACGACGGGAAAATGACTGAATTCATTTCATTAAGTGCTTTTAAATCTAAACTACGAATCCTTGAGGCCAAGTCCATAACATGCAACTGTTTCAATTAGATTGATTGTCATTTTAACTGATTTATTTATTTATTTATTTATTTATTTATGTGTGTTGCTGCTGCCTGTGTTGGCCAGGTCTCCCTTGAAAAAGAGGTTTTTAATCTCAATGGGATCTTCCTGGTTAAATAAAGGTTAATAAATAACACGCAGATACGATTGGTTACCTCAGCGGCTGAATGGGTCTGATTAACATGTCTTCAGGTGAGTTTTGTGTCATGTGACGCTGCGTCCCGTCTGCAGGCCCAGTTTCAAACATCCAGCGTAACGTGGAGGCCGCCGCTGTGTCTGTGAGCTGCAACCTGGACCTGCAGGTGCGTCACAGCAAGCTGCTGTGGAGAGAAGCCATCAAGCCATTTTTGATCATCACACAGGAGCTCATGGTGAGAGGAATATGTTTCAAAGTTTAACATAATAATAATTGTCAACCTACATGAACATGAAGCTGAAGGGCCTCAGATCATCTTCTCTTCCAGGACGATAAAGAAGGTTTTGAGTTGGAGGCTTTAAATGTCAGCAAGAAGTTTCAGGGCATCAGAGACGAGATGGTCCTTCAGTACGGATACGACCGATTCGAAACTAAACAAGGCGGCGGTAACAGCACCCAGGAGGAGTTCACCGCCAAGACCCTAAAGCAGTGCGACAGTGAGTCAGAAACACCAGGCGTGAAGTTCAAAGGTTTCAGGCAGGAAACACGACACAGAAGGAAACTGTTGATCATCATCCTCGTGTCACAAATACGAGAAAACAATCGCTTTAAATGTCGTCACTAATGTGATTCAAAGTGATTTCACACCTGCTTCACAAACCTCATTTAAAGACGAGAACTCGTGCGTGGTTCGATCCCCAGGTGTGGTGGCTCAGGGCGTGCAGCGCTGCGTCGATTGGTTTGCCAACAGGTGGACGGCGTGTTTGGAGGCGATCCCCGTCCCCGTCATCAACTACATCCTCTGCATTTCAATGAAGTTTCACTTCCTGTGTGACATCATGAAAGGTAAAAGGTTATACGTCCACATCCAGCTGACCGCGCGGTCTCTACTCGTTCCAGTCAGACATTTCTGACTCACAAACATCAGAATACATTTAATCATTGCTTTGGTGTAATACCACTTTGAGCCACAAGGTGACACTGAGTGTAGCATCCAATCACAACACAGTATGACAACACTATTATTGTTAGCTTGGTGCTAGTCACATTAAAGTAATATTTAGCGACTTGTTCTGGGAGCTCGAAGAGTAAAAACAAGCAGTTATATTTTTAAATATTAAAAAAACGACTACACTAAAGCTTTCTGGTAAACGCTGCCATCTTGTGGTGGAAGTTTTTATTACATTTAGCTAAAGGTTTTGCAAAAAGCACCTTTAAATTTGAAGGTGTGCAAACATATAACGTATATCGTACTCAAGTGTCCTCAAACGTAAACGGCAGATTATTTTTGATTTATTACTTCAGGGTTGATAATCTTGGTGTTTTGGTGACACGGCTGCTGTGATCTTTAGTTCTTCTCCTCCCATCAGTCATGACTCCGTGGTGCAGGGACAACATTCCCGTGGAGGGAAACTTTGGTCAACTCTTCGACCGGCTCAATCTTTCGGTTGACCTGCTGTCCAGAGAGTTCAGCACCGAGCTCACCGTAGAGGTCAGACCTGCACCGCCCGTCCTCCGGCACCACCCGCAGGACGAACCCGGCCGAAATGTAACCTGCGTGTCGTCTCGCAGGAGGAGGAGCAGCCGGCGCTGAGCGAAGCTCTGCTGGACCAACAGTTCACCAACGCTGTCAAAACATCCATCCAGAATCTGACATCAACGACGGGACGGGTGCTGAACATCCTGCAGATGCTCCTCTCCTTAACCTTCATCACCATCTTCACCCAGTAAGAGTCTCACCTTCACCTTCATCCCGTTAAGATTCACACCTTCATCTCCGTCGTCTTTTCTCCTCTGCAGGGCATTCGGGTACCTCGGGCGGTACAACAGGGACATTTGTTTCGACAACCTCTACATCACCACCTACTTCAGACAGATCGATGCCCGCAGACGGAAAGCGGTATCATTCTCATCCTCATCATCCTCACTTCAGTACAGTCCACGGTCTGACCGTGCTGTCCTCTCCTGTGCTGCGTTTAGGGGAAGCGCTGCCTGCTGCCTCTGAGGAAATCTGAGAGAAACAAGCTGATCGACCCCCGCAGTCTGAAGATTTACCCCGAAGAGGTCAAACAAGTGGTGCGTTCAAGAGCAGTAACTCTGGCAGTATTTCTGTAGTGTTTCACAAAGTGCTTTACAGGAAATAATCCACTATAACAGCAGCAGTGACGCGACTCCTCAGTTCTCTTCACTCACCTAAAATCTGCAGATTTGTTAAAGGATCGTTACCCTAAACACCACTTTTCCATCTTTTTAAGTTATTTTTATAAATCACGTGTTTAGACGTGGTCCAATCAGAGTGCAGCACTCTCACCAACAGGTGTGCAGCAATAGCAGATTTCTGTCCCGTTATTGGACCTTGAGGCAACTATATGGAGATTTCTGTACAGTTCCTTAAATCCAAGGTGCAATTTCAGGACACAGTCTGTGTTCAACCAAATACACCCAGGAAAAGGTTTAATACACATTTTACTGTTTTTATAGCCGATTATCACAGTTTCCCAGTTTAGTTTAATAAAGATAAAAAAGTATTTGAGTTGTGACTTTGACCCTTGTCCCTGTGCCTGGCAGGTTTTTCATTTACAGTGGGATGCAAAAGTTTGGGCCACCTTGTTCATAGTCATTATTTTCCTGTTTAAATCGTTACAATAAAAATGTCAGTTAAATATATCATAGACACACACAGTGATATTTGAGAAGTGAAATGAAGTTTATTGGATTTACAGAAAGTGTGCAAGAATTGTTTAAACAAAATCAGGCAG